AGAAAGCAAAGCATTGTGTAGATCAATGTCCACGAATCAACCCCAAATCTTCTCTACCTAGGTGAGAAGTCAGAGAAGATCAGCATCAGGCAGAGCTGTAGGTTTAGGCACTGATCATGGTAGGATGGAGTTGCCATCAACTAATATGGGAAAAGAGAAAATTTAGATTTCTGGGGGATAATCTCTGGTTCAGTTCCGGGTCAGAGGAGAGGCTTGAAAAGCCAGAGTATCTCTGTTTCTGAGTTAGAGTCATTTCTTTTTCAAAAATAGCAGGGGGTGTGTTTTAGGGCTCTTCTCACCTGGGTGCCTCTCCTCCCACTTCATCCTTCAACTGTGTCCACTGCCCTGGATCTGGCCACCATCTCTCCATAGGCCACTGCCTCACAAAGACGTCTATCTACGTCAGATCTGGACTTAAGCCCGGATGCACCTACTCACTGGGATACTTCTGGTGTGGCAGGTGAGGGACTTAACAGAGCTTTCAAAAAGTAGCTTCCTGACTCATCTTTTGAAGAAAACAGGGAGGAAACGGTGCTCAGGACAATCCTTGGAAGGAAAAGGCGACATAAGGAAAGTTAGGAGAATCAGCTGCTTGCAAAGCGAATCTCAGGATCTGAGGGTGAAAGAAAAGGGTAAATATCCCAGTTCCTTGGTGACATAATGGCGAGGATTTGGCATTTTCATCTCCCCATTCATTTTCAATTCCTGATTTTTATTATGTAGCAGAGTGGGGAGGGAGAAACTGGGAGAGAGAGGGCAAGCAAGGGAGAAAAGCAGAGCTCCCCGCAGTTGTCCAGGAATGGTGCTGTTGAAGTTTGCCGAGGAGTCCTTTCTGACTCCTTGTTGTTTTTAAGTGCCATCGAGTCGGACCCGACTCATAGCGACCCCTCCTTGAGCTTCCGAGGCAGTATCACTACGGAAGTAGATTGCCTCATCTTCCTTCCAAGGAGTGGCTGGTGGGTTTGAACCACCTGCCTTGTGGTTAGCAGTCAAGTGCCTTAGGCACTATGGTAGCAGAGCTCCTTTCTGACTCCTAGCGACTCTTAAGTTCAATAGAAAGTTTCAGAGGCTCTTCTGATATCCTTTTTAGTCTTGTCTTCCTTTTCTGTCTTTTTAAGGACCGACATTGGTGGACTTGAGAAGGTAGCCATGTCCCGCAAATTTTCGTTACCTGCATGATCAGGGGATGAAAGGGCTCACAGGCACAGATGCCCCAGAGCCACTGAGCGGCCACATCATCACCTTTGTGGAAGGGGGGGTGGTGTCTTTGGAACATGGACCTTTATTTGACTGGAATCTGGCTCCGTGGCTGGTCAGTCAGACTCAGATCATCAAGAGCCCACTGTCTCCCAGGCTTGTGGGTTGGTCTATTCAGGATCAAAGAGACCAATGGGTCTTTATTACTTGGTGTCCTGATTGGTCAACTCAGGACCCAGGACAGGAAAGGGACATTGTCAATAGCCTTCTGATTGGTCCACTCAGGTTCTAGGACATCAAAAAGGCATTGTTCTTTTGGCTCCCAAAGTTGTTGTGCACTGCTGAGTCAATTCTGACTCCTGGGGACCCCGTGACAGAGGGGAACTGCCCCATAGGGTTTTCTAGGCTGTAATCTTTATAGGAGTAGATTGCCAAGTCAGTCTCCCATGGAACTTCTGGTAGGTTCAAACCCCAAAACTTTTGGTTAGCAGCTGAGCACTTAACCAGGGCTCCTCAGTGCCACCAGGACTCCTTTGGCTCTTAATAGGTCCACTCCCAACCCAACATCAGTGAGTGACCCAACAGCACTAAGTCATTTTTGTTTGGTCCATTTAGTTCTCAGGACAATAATGCTTTCTGGTTACCTAGAGCTATGATTGGGAG